CCTCTCCATCAACCAGGCTACGGCTCAGGCTGGCTCTGCATCCTCTCCATCAACCAGGCTGCGGCTCGGGGTGGATGGCATTCTCAACAAGGGAGGATGGTGTCCAGAGGGGGCAGCCCCTGTCTCGGGACACCCCAAAACCCAAGAGTTCCACTTGCATAAACTCTCCCGCAGACAGGGAGGGGCCAAGGAGCCCCAGAGGGCCAGCAGCCACTCACCTTTCCTTGAAATCGAGAAAGACCTTGGCCAGCGTGCTGCCCCCCACCATCATGGACACGTCGATGGCCCTCAGGAAGCTGTGATGCACCTTGATCAGGTCCTGGGTTGAAAAAGAGCCGTGAGTGCCTGGCCAGGCCCACCCAAGGCTAGACTGGAGTGCCACCCTTAAGGCACGCTTGTGGTTCTGTAGTTCCTGTCAAGGGGATGAGGGGCCCGGGTGCTGGGCCTGCACCCCACATATCTGTGCATGCCAGGGTGTGATTCCGGTAGAAGATTCTATGGCAATGGCGCACAGAAGAGCCAGTACGTGTGGGAGGGAAGCCGCCCTCAGCCCGCATCAGCCCATCTGATACACAGCGGCCGACTCAGGACAGGCTCTGCAGACAGAGTGGGGCGGCACAGTGCAGTACCCTTGTGTCCAGGCCACACCCCAGGACCCCCATCCCCACCCCAGGCCTCTTTCTGTCTGTGGTCCTCCATCCGGACCACAGCTCAAGGCCAGATGAACTCTGGGTCAGAGACACAGACTACAGGAAGCTCTGGGGTCCAAGCCAGCCTCATCCAGGGCAGAGTGACCAGAGCCTACCCTTGCAGCTAATGAGATGCCCAGGGAGGCAGGACACAGCCACCGCATGCGCTGCTGGCACCTGTGGCCACCAGGCCAGGAGGAAGGGCCAGGAGCAGCGTGTCCCTGGAGGAAGCCCACCCACGCGTGGCTGCCGGAGCCTCGTGCGAGCGCCCTGCTCTGCTAACCACGTCAGGGTGACTCTGCATGGGGAACTGCCTTTCTATGACTGCGTTCAGACACCCGCAGGACGGGCGGGGGGGTCTGCTCAAAGGGGTGGAGGGACACGTTTCTCTCTGGCCGCTGACAAAAACGTCATTTACATTCTCAGGGTCATCCGTGCCTCCAGCCATGCACGTCAGTGCTGCCCTCACCCGCAGACAAGGGGAGCTCAGAAACCTGCTACCCTGGCTCCTAAATCCAAAGACCGTGGAGAGAGGGGTGGGGGCTCCTCCTTCCGGCCAGCACGAGCCACAGCGGAGCTGCAGGGGTGCAGCTCTCCAAGGCCCTGGGGGCCGGCGGCCCTTTTTTGGCCGTTGCGGGTTTGGGGCCCGGGGCCGGGCTTGGGTGGGGGGGGCCGGGCCCTTTCCTTCCGGTTTATTGAGGCCGGCGGCCTTTTCGGCGGGGTTCGGCCCCGGCGGCGGGGGGTTCTTTTGTTTTTGGAGGGGGGAGTTCCCCCCTTGCCCCCTTGTTGCGTTCGCCCCCCTTTTCAGGTTCCCGGTTGCTGGGGAGGGTCCCTGGGGCAGCTCCGAGGCAGGCACACTGGGGTGCTCCATGCTTACTGGGGTACACCTGTGTTCTGGCCACATCGGGCTCCATTCTCTGGGGGTGAGTTCAGGGCAGGGAGGTGTGTGGGGGTAAAGGTTCTAATGCTCCCAGCATGACGGGGGCAGAGTCCTGTGATGGCCACTCATACACAGGGTGGACGTGGGCACTATGGCTGCCCTGAGGTGGGCGTTGGGGTTTTGGCTTGCGGTGAGGGGCTGAGACCCAGGAGGCAGGGCCATCACCCACGGGGACTCTCTGGATGGACAGGGCCGTGGTCCCCACCCAGCACTCAAACGCTGAGCTTGTGCTCCTGAGCACGACCCCAAAACTGTCATCAAAAGGGACGCTCTCCATCTGGAGAAGTGCCGGCGGGGGTGCAGGCTGTGGAACAGAGTCCTCCAGTCCCAGCCTCAGGCGGGATGTGAAGTGAAAACGAGGACGTGTGAGGCTGCCGACCCTGCTCTGGAGGCCCGGGGAGGCCCTGCCACCCTCTCCTCTCCTGCTCCCTGAGTGGCTCCTGGTCAGGGTGGCCAAGCAGCTCTGCAGGCATCCTCTAAGCCCAGCTGTGGGACCACTCCTTGGGCACCCCGTGATGCAGAGAGCATCGTCCAAGCAAACACACCCAGGTGGCAGCCCCAGGCAGGGTGGAGACAGACCCCAAGAGCCCTCCTGCTTTCTGAGGCAGCACTCAGCCGTGGAGGGACGCAGAGGCCAGCAGGACCCCAGCAGAGGTCGACCTCAGAGCCAGGATTCTCGGAAGGGGCGGGACTCTGCCAGGGCATGAGCAGGGCTTCAAGGGAGCTGGAAGGACCTGGGCCAGGATGTACAGATGTGTGTGCAGAAAGGCCACTGGCCAAGGACCAGAGGGTGGGGCAGCAGATGGAGGGGGCCCAGATGGAGCAAGGCCAGCCTGGGTCAAAGCGGGCAGATCAGGTCTCCTGGCTGGAGGCACCACGGCCACCCTGGACCCCACACCACAACCGGAGGATAGAAAAGAGACTCCAGCTTAAAAACAAGGTTGGTTTTTCTCCCCAGTAAACACTAGCAGTTGGCAATGAAGACTCAGAAGTGCTGGGGAAATGTCCCAGAGCCAGGCCGATCAGGTGCCTACAGGAGGCCTGAGTCGGGTAGGGCAGGTGAAGGCCCATCCTCAGCCCTCTAGGAGCTCAGCAGGCCAGCGGGAGAGGACTCAGATGCACCAGAGTGGAACAGCTGGGCAAGGAGCTTGGAGTCTGCAGCTCTGGTCACTAGCCCCGACCACGCCTTGTGCAGGACACTCCCAGCTCCCCATGGGAGCTGTCTTCCATTTTACAGAGGCAGAGGCTGAGGGTGGAGAGGCTGGGGAGCAGCTCTAGGTGGGGTCGGGAGGAATACATGAGGAGCTAGCTCAGTGCCTGCCTTAGAGCAATGTTCAGGAGCTGAAGCCGTAATCCCACCCCGATTAGGCTCGGAGGAGGGGCAGGGTCAGGCGCAGGCTGGGGCTTCAGGGGTTGCAGAGGAAAGGAGAGGGCACCCTCCTTTTGGGCAGGGGATACCTGGAGGCAGAGCTGGGAGGGCCACCAGATCTCCTTCGCCTGTCAGAGAGGCCCTGTGGCCCTGCCTCCGGAATGCACTCCCAGGGGATGGGTGGCCCTGCAGTGACCACAGTGGCCGCTGCCGTTTTCCGGCAGCCACCGCCCGCCCTCACCTTCTCTATGTCCTCCAGGGTGCGGTAGTACTTGGCCTCGGTCTCCTGGATCTCCAGCAGGCAGCAGTTCCTTTTATCATCCTCAGTCATGCTCATTTTCTAGAGGAGGGAAGGGGGTGTCAGCAGGACCCCATGAGCCCAGCCAGCCGCCACCTGCACGTCTGCACCGTGACACCCGGACACCTCCGCACACGAGGACACCTCCTCGGGTTTGCCCACGAGGTCACTGAGTGTGCAGTGCTGCAGCCGGATGGGTGACAGAGAGGGCCAACCCCTTCGCATCCATTTTGCAGATGAAGAAACTGAGGCACGGGGAGGGGACATGACATGGGGACAGTGCCAAGGAAGGCTTGGAGGCAGAGGCTTCTATAATCCCAGGCTCCTACTCCTCTGATTCTGAATCTCAGTTCTTCGCCAGACTGGGGTGAGGGCCGCAGAAGCTATCCCCTCCCACACAGGAGCAGGAGTGAGTGGCTAAAGCACCTACTGCGTGCATAAGTCCTCCCTATACAGCAGACTGTGTGCTCAACTCCATGCAGACCACATCCACTGAGACATTGCACGTCTCAGTACCAGCCACCTGCAGGCTGGACTCTTCCCCAAGTGTCCACCGGTTTCTAGCCAGGAGGTCTGAGATGACCTCACCTCCACCAGCAGGGTCCCTGGGGCCTCCTCCAGAGCAGGGCCTGCCCCCACCACTGGTGGAATGTGGCCGGGGCCGGACTCTTCAGAGGTTGCCTGGCCAGTGGTCCAGGGTGAGGTGACAGGTGGGGTCACTGTGGGGCAGTGGGGGATTTTCCCAGCACTATCTTGAAGGTTCTGTTAGGCTGGGTGAACCACATCTGTCAGAAGGCTCTGGAGAAATGGTGCTGAGACCCACAGCACTTGTGTCAGCCCTAAGACCATCATCATCCTCCAAGAAATCCCCAAGGGTCCCCTTGGGGTCTGCCAGGCTGCAGATCTCTAAGGCAACATGCAAGATGGGGTACAGGACCACGGGGGTGCTAAGGGTCTGTGATGCCTGAGGTCACGTGTGCCTGACCATGTCTCCCTGGGGGCAGGTTCCCGAGTTTTCTAGAGAGGTCTGAGACCTCCCTGAAAGGTCAAGAAGACGGCGCAGGCAGGACGTCCCCAACCTCCCCTTCCAGGCCACTCACCTGCATGTATCTAATCTGCAAGCGTGGAGAAAGAAACCAGAAACAGTGCCAGTTAGCAGGGCCCACACTGTCCTTGCAACCTGAGCCTGGGACATCAGGAACACCACCCCACAACCAGCCAACAGACCCGAAGCCACATCACAGCCCCTCGTGCTGCCCAGCTGGGCAGGGTGACAGCTCAGGGGCCAGAGCCTCCACAGCAGATCCCCTACCCAGGCTCTGGAAGTGGCACCTGCCATCCTCTGGCTTTTCCTTTGGGGAAGTCACCAACTCTATTACCTTCTACTGGGGCTGTTCGGAGAGCTCCAGACATGACAGGGAAGGACATGGAAGCAGCTGTTTTATCTCAGAGGACCCTGGTAGGAAGCAGGAACTGCCCCTTGCTCCCCACCCCTGCCTGGATAGACTGGACAGCTCGAGACCAGCGGGACCAGCGCTGGGCACGAGGACACTATGCAGAGCCTGACAGCAGGGTGCATTCCACCCCAGACACAGGCAACACTGTTACCCAGCCTGGCAGGTTCTGTGGACACTCCATGTCCCTTCACATGTTTTCTCAAAGAGGTCTGAGACCTCTTCAGACCTCTTCAGAACCAGGGACAGCAGCGGGCTCCAGGGAGCACCCACTCTCGCCAGGCATGGATGGGGGTCTTGAGAGAGAGGGCCTGCGTGATCCAGGGCCAGGATCCCCCACACAACCAATGCACCCACCTGCTTAAGTTTACCCGCAGGATGCCCAGCTTTCAAACGACTTGGGGAGGGAACCGGCCTTGACCAGTCAGAGCTTATTCCCAAGTCCAGACGGCTCGCCGGCCACCTTGGGACCTCTCAGGCCAGCTCTGGGGAGGTGAGGGGAGCCCCCAGCAGCAGGGCCATGGCTCAGGCTTCCAGCCCTAACAGCTGCCCAGCCAGGCTCCCCAGGAAGGCAAACTGGAGGCCCTGCTGCCTCCACAAAGGGCCATCATCCCTGGGGGGAGACCCCCCGGTAATGGCGGGGAACAAAACTCAGCTCAAGACCCTTCAGGGACAAGCAGAGAAACCTGCTCTTGAGTCAGTTTGGGGGCTGTGAGACCCCCAGCCCTGCACCTGCCTGTCTCTCCCAGCAGCATGCCAGCAGATTGGGCAAGGCCTCCGGGCAAGGCCTCTTTAGGGATCTGTTTCCCCGGCTTTCTGCCTCTCCGCCACCAGCTGGTTCCTCCCACACTAAAAGAAAACACTGAGATCAGCTTTTTGAGAAACTTCCCATTTCTTCAGGGAAAGCCAGTGGCATCAAAAGCCTCCACGGTTGGCAAGTGGCATCTTGCCCATTCTTGGGAGCCTGGGGGTCCGAGGGCCTGTGACCTGCCCCACCAGGTCCCTGTCTCCCCATTCCAGCTCTGCTGGATCCCCAACCTTCCACACAGCAGCTGCTGGCAATAAACCCACGCGGAGGAAACTGGCATCCGAGAGATTATTCGCCACTGCCTGCAGGGAAATAAACATCCTCCACACATAAAAGACGCACAGCTGGCTAATTGGGCCAATATTGGTCTCATCACTCTCCACACAAAGGGGGAAAATGATGCGTGCTTTAGAC